CTGCATACCTGCTCATTTGCGCACTGATATTGTCCTGTGAAAAACTGTTCATTATTTCCTGCAATGCTGAAAAATGTATGGTATTGGGCTGTGTTTGTGACAAATGCCTTTGGAAAAGTTGCAGCTTTGTTCCAAAGGCCTTGAGGTGTGAATAAAGATGGTTCACCACTGCATCTTTTCCCTGAAGACTCGTGTTTAGTACATTCAGATGCTTTGTTATGTCAACTAGAAACCCCAAATCAGCCAGCCAAATAGTATCAGATAGTTCTCGCATCGGTTGTCCCTTTGTTTCCAAGAATTCTTTGATTTCCTTTCTGAGAGAGTAGAAACGCTGCAGCGCAGACCCTCGACTGAGCCACCTTACATCGTTGTGATATAAAACATCTTCATATTCAGCCTGGATGTCCAGTAGAAACTGTTTAAACTGGCGGTGGCACAGAGCTTTAGCGCGAATAAAATTAATAGTCTTTACAACCGGTTTCATAACATGATCATATTTGAGATATTTAGCACAGAGAACTTGTTGATGATTAATACAATGGAGTTTAATAGCTTCGCCTCCTTCTTCAATCATCTTGTTACAGATTAGGATTGATAATCCACTTCGTTCACCAGCCATAGCAGGTGCCCCATCAGTAATAATCCCAGTAACTTTGTTCCAGGGCAGTTTCATGTCATCTATTGCGGAACTAACAGCAACAAATAAATCTTTTCCTCTTGTTTGGTCCGTAAGGCTCTGGAGGTCAAGTAGCTCTTCAGTCACATTTATTTCATCGTCCACCCCTCTCAAAAAAATCAGCAACTGAGCTGTGTCAGATAGGTCTGTGCTTTCATCACAGGCTATTGAAAAGAAGTCAAAATCCTGTCCTTTGGACGTCAACTGTCTCTTAATATCTGATGAAATATCTTCAATTCTCCGTGCTACAGTGTTACGAGCCAGGCAAATGTTGTCAAACTCTTGCTTCTTCTCGGGACAGATATTCTCAACCATTTTCATAACGCACTCTTTAATAAAATCACCCTCAACAAAAGACTTGCAATTTTTAGCAATTAACGTTGCCACCTCATAGCTTGCCTTTGTGGCATTTTCATTTGACTCACAGGCTCTTGTGAAAAATCGCTGTTGTGACATTAAAACCACTTCAAGTTGCTTCAACTTTTCACTGCAGTCGCGCCCTGTTAGTTTGTCGTATGTGCTATGTCTCGTCTGGTAGTGTCTCTTGACATTAAATTCTTTATAAACGGCCACAGTCTCTTGACATATCAGACAAACACAGTGATTCTGTATTTCAGTGAAAAAAAATTCCACTTTCCACCTTTCCTGGAAACGGCGGCCCTCACTGTCAACTTTCCTTTTCTTATTTATAGTCGCCATTTTATAAATTGGCCAGAAGGGGGAAGGGGGAAGGGTGCAGTGCCAAAGTAAAAATGTGGCCCTTCTGGAAATATGTTTATGAGAGTAATATGAGAGTAATATGGCAGGAATCACATTTTGGAGAGCTGCTCCTTGTTCATATTTAGCAAGCATGATTTTGCATGATTCTGCCTCTGTTTGACCTTGGCAGGTGGAAGCTGTGTTATTTGCTTTGACACGGTCAGACTCTCTGGTAACAGCTCACACACTTCCACAGCTTCACAGATTCTGCTAGGCCAGGGCCCTACCTACCTCTTTCCAGCTCCCCACATCCCAGCCCATGAAATGGCGGTCTGTCTCACACCGCAAGTACACCGCAAGTCCCGCGGAGGAGGTAGCTGGAGATGGAGTCTCTGCTCCGCAGCCACAGCAAATGGAGGGGAAGAGAAACTCACTTCACGCTGTGATGGAAGCCTGGCCCTGACGTAACCGCCCTCTGTCGCTCCCAACGCGCCGCAGTCAAGCATGCGCACTGCCCTCAAGCAGAAGACTGTCTACCACAGAAGGGAGGGCCGTGGGAGGGCCGCATTTACACAGAGCAGGGAGGGCTGTTAGAGGGCCGTATTAAACCGGAACCCGGGCCGCAAATGGCCCATGGGCCAGACTTTGGACATGTCTGACCTATGTCATTCAATTACTGACCTAGCATAGATAAATGTCAAATAGCTACACACCAAAGTAAATCTAAAGTTTAATTCCTGACTGCATGTTTACATATGCCTTAGAAATAAAGGATCACTTGACTTCCGGTTTGATGGGCGCAGGAAGACAGGGCTCCATCTTCCACGTTAGATTTCATCCCGCTGGGGACCCTAAAAAGGCTTGAAAGTCACCCTGAAGAGGTGACGGAGAAGGAGAGGACCCTTGTTGATTGCGGGAGGGTGGCGGCCCTTCCATTTGATCCGAGGAAGCCCTCCAAACCGGCGGGGGAAAGATTGGCTACATTTGTGTGGCCAGTCAGAAGCTGCTGACAACTGAAGAAAATAAGCATTAACCAGCAACTTTCAAGCAACATGGATGGAACTGGGTGAAACCCTATCCTCTCTTTATGACTTTAAGACTTTTTCCTGGGAAAAAACCGCCCAAAGTAAAGAATCCTCCACGATGAGAGAGGGAAGGGGAATTTCCATCCCATTCCCTCAGGAAAAGAAAAGTGGCGAATTAATTGCTTGGGGGAAAATAGAGAAAATTACAAGATTAATTTGGAATCAATACACATATATAACTTTGAAATTTGGAGACTAAAAGTGCTTTTGAAATTTATTTTTTTAAAAGAGACTTAAAAAGCTTGTAATATAAGTTTGGATGTAAAAAGCTGGAAGACGACATTAATGACATCTAGTGGTGAACTACAGCACTACAATTTATTATGCCTTGGCTCAAAGCCCAGATTCAGATAAGACTCTTGTTGTTTTCAGAAACTTTCACTTTTGAAGACTGCAGCTGGGAAAAGGGGAAAAAACCTCCTCTTGGGCTGCTTATCTGTGTGGCAGAGACAATAAACTATGGACTATGAATATAAATACTAACTGACTTTTAGAGCTGTGTCATGGAGCTATTTCCCTATAGAAGAAACATGCATTATTGATTGAGATGATGGACTACTTTGGACTATAAACCTTTGATTGATGAACAATTTTTAATTGCTCTTCTCTCTCTGGACAGAAAGCATGTGTTTTTCATTGGACAGAAAAATTTGAAAAATTTGAACTTTATTTATATTTGCTGAGGGGAGACTTAAGGATGGACTGATAGGCTGGCTAGATAATTAGGAGTTCAAATGACAACTGACTGAAACTTTTTAAATCTCTAAATAGATTGGACTACAAAGACTACATACAAAAACAAAATGGATGTTCCATACTTAGCTTCAAATGGTAAAAAACGATCCCTAACACCTGTCCCCCAAACCCCCAGCTTGACATACCAACAACAAAATGTTGATGAATTTCAGAAAGAAATTCTATGTTAAAATCAATACAAGAGACAATTGCCTTAGCTCATGATGAGACTAAAAATAACACAAAGGAGATAAAAGAACAATTCTTTAATCTAAATCTACAAACTCAAAAAATGACTACAAAGAAGGAACTAGCAACCCACAAAATCAAAGGAAAATCAGAGGAAGCAGATCCAAAGATGGAGGACCTAAAGAAAGGAACTAACAGACAGACTCAGACAAATGAAGAATTAGAAGATGTAGCAATAATATCAGAAATGGAAAAGATATCTTACCTGGGAAAAGCAGGATATTAATTGAACAAATGGATATTAAGTGCAAATGCAATTAAGATATATTTTGGTTAGAAAAGATATTTTAAACTAACATTATCGATATTATTAGGAAAATGTAACAAAGATGTTGACATTCAATTGTATATGTATTAACAACAATAAGAATTGTATTAACCTAATGTGGAAAAATGTGTACTACTGTAAGAAGAGAGGATGCACTGGATGGTGTAATATTGGGCCTAGATTGAAGAAGTTAATATGTACCACTGAATTATTAATGGACCCAGAACAACACGTTGTTTATTAAGTACTTATGATTGTAAAACTAGAAAATTAATAAAATATTTATAGAAAAAATAAAATAAAGGATCACTTGCAGCAAACAATTCTTACTTGCTTGTCCTGGGTTATGGATTGCAACATGAAATCAGAGGCACAGGATCATTTATCTACAGGGGCAATACTATACTACCTTAGCTACTTCTCATGTCTTGCTACCCAACATTTGGCTTGGCTTTTAAAACATAGGTCTTTTCTTACACAAAAGTGAAAGGAATGAAATTTCCTTTTGCTGCTATAAGCGAAATTCTGCAGGATATAGCTTGAGACATTGTATTGTTGGGTAGCAACTGCATGCTTATCTTTTTGGGAGATACAAAATCTATATGTATTATCCCATAATTTTCTCATCTTTTATTAAAATAGAACAAATTCCTCAAACCCCACATACCTTTAGCATTCTTCCTTTTTTCTTCATGCAAGGTTTTAAGCTTAGACTTTTTCTGATCACCGCTCAACTTTGCTGTGGTGTCTCCATATCTTGAAGATGATGTATAAAGGCTAGCTCAGGGGTAGGCAACCTTAGCTCTTTTATGACTCGTGGACTTCAACTCCAAGAATTCCTGAGCCAGCATGGCTCAGCTTGGAAACCTCTCCCTTTCCTCTCAGCATGGCTGGCTCAGGAATTCTGGGAGTTGAAGTCCACGAGTCATAAAAGAGTCAAGGTTGCCTACCACTGGGCTAGCTCAACAAAGTGTTGATGGTGAAATTGGAAGCTTGCCTGCATTCCTATCCTTTTCTTTTGCAGGTTCTGTTTTGTGGAGATGCATATGAAGGCTATTGTAAAAAGAGGTTTCTGGAGTTACTAGAATGTTAAATGTTCTGTGTTTGTGTATTTTGAAATTTTTCAAGAACCCTAATGAAGACAAATAAATATTTGAAGAAGTTGAACAATTTCCATTCTCTGAAATCATTCAAAAGTTACTACACCTTGTATGCCTTACATATTGGCTAGATTGCTGTTTGCTAAAATGCTGTTTTTTGCTGATACTCTTGTTTATTCTTTGTATAGACAACCTCCATCAAGGCCTGTCAGGCCAAGTTGGACTGGCTTGAAAATACAAAAGAGCCTGCTACACAAGAATTTATTGATCAGAAGCAGCAGTTGGAAGACATCATGCTTCCTATCTTCACAAAATTGTCTGCACCACGTGAGTATTTTTAAGCTTACCTTTGGATAACAGAACTCTCACATTTTTAATTACTATTTTATTTACAGGAAATGTTTTCTGCTGGCCCATGCTAGGTGTTGAATCTTTGCATAATCCAGAATAAATTTCTCATAGAGATTTACTTCTACCTTCTACCTTGTTAATTAAGTTTACTGAAAATCTCACTCCTCCCAATTCTTCTAGGATTTTCAGTGTCCCATCAAATGACAAATCTATAGTAGTCCTTACTTACTAACCACAATTGGGTCCAGTCACTCTTTCACTAAGCAAAACATTACGTGACCAGGTTGGATTGTTGGATTTATGTCTCTCCCACTATGGTTAAACTGATCACTGCACATCGTTAAGTGAGACATAATATGACAATGACTTGTTATTTCACTTTCCATTTGCTTGTTGGAAAGCATCCAAATTTGCTTGTTGGAAAGCATCCAAATTTCGACCACATGACAGCAGAGATGGTACAATTGCCATAAGTGCAAGGAATGCTCATAAGGTTATTTTGCCAGTGCCAAAATACTTCAAACAGTTGCTAAACAGGCCTGTTAACAAGTTCTTCTGGTCTTTGGTTTTTGCCAAACGTATCTTCAGAAATTACTGGCAAATAACTCTAATTCTGCCTCATTATTGTTCCAGAAGTCCTGGTCTTTATCTAGATCTACAGCAAACTTTATACTTGCCCCGATATTCTTTCTGGACAGCAAAGGTTTCTTCCTGGTACACCTCTCATGTAGATCTAATTTATACCACTTCTTTCTAATGATAGACTCATGCACTTTGACATCAGTAGTAAAGAAAGCTACCAGTAGATCTTGTGATGAAATTCTGGAGTTCTTAGAGACTTCTTTTAGCCTGGCCAAGTTGGCAGTTGTTTGAAATCTTTTACACTTGTACAGGGAGGGGAAAAAGTATTTGATCCCCTGCTGATTTTGTACATTTGCCCACTGACAAAGAAATGTTCAGTCTATTTTAATTGTAGGTTTATTTTAACAGTTAGAGACAGAATAACAACAAAAAAATTCAGAAAAATGCATTTCAAAAAAGTTATAAATTGATTTGCATTTTAATGAGTGAAATAAGTATTTGACCCCTTCACAAAACATGATTTAGGAATTGGTGGCAAAACCCTTGTTGGCAATCACAGAGGTCAGATATTTCTTGTAATTGGCCACTAGGTTTGCATACATCTCAGGAGGGATTTTGCCCCACTCCTCTTTGTAGATCCTCTCCAAGTCATTAAAGTTTTGAGGTTGACATTTGGCAGCTTGAACCTTCAGCTCCCTCCACATATTTTCTATGGGATTAAGGTCTGGAGACTGGCTAGGCCACTCCAGGACCTTAATGTTCTTCTTCTTGAGCCACTCCTTTGTTGCCTTGGCCGTGTGTTTTGAGTCATTGCCATGCTGGAATATCCATCCACAACCCATTTTCAGTGCCCTGATTGAAGGAAGGAGGTTCTCACCCAAGAGTAGTAGAGAAATGACTATTCTGAGCCACCTAAGTCCCACCCACCCCACCTATTTTGCACCCTCCGTGCACAAGCTGATTGGCCGGAACAGAAGCGTATTGGCATAAACCACACCCACACTTTGGTAAATCTCCCACCCTCTGCAGACGAATAGTCCCATAACACAAAATTGAAAATACATTAAAAAAAATTCTTCTATATAAAAAAACCATGTTTACAAAAATGCAATTCTTTGTGCCATGCTGGAATACCCATCCACGACCCATTTTCAATGCCCTAGCTGAGAAAGGAGGTTCTCACCCAAGATTTGATGGTACATGGCCCCATCCATCATCACCTTTGATGCAGTGAAGTTGTCCTGTCCCCTTAGCAGAAAAACACCCCCAAAATATGTTTCTACCTCCATGTTTGACAGTGGGGATGGTGTTCTTGGGGTCATAGGCAGCATTCCTCCTCCTCCAAACATGGCGAGTCGAGTTGATGCCAAAGAGCCCGATTTTTGTCTCATCTGACCACAACTTTCACCCAGTTCTCCTCTGAATCATTCAGATGTTCATTGGCAAACTTCAGACAGGCCTGTACATGTGCTTTCTTGAGCAGGGGAACCTTGTGAGTGCTGTAGGATTTTAGTCCTTCACAGCGTAGTGTTACCAATTGTTTTCTTGGTGACTATGGTCCCAGCTGCCTTGAAATCATTGACAAGATCCTCCTGTGTAGTTCTGGGCTGATTCCTCACCGTTCTCATATCCTTGAAACTCCACGAGGTGAGATCTTGCATGGAGCCCCCGACTGAGGGAGAGTGACAGTTGTTTTGTTTTTTCCATTTGCGAATAATCACACTGAATGTTGTCATCTTCTCACCAAGCTGCTTGGTACGGGCAGTCCTGTAGCCCATTCCAGCCTTGTGTAGGTCTACAATCTTGTCCCTGACATCCTTGGACAGCTCTTTGGTCTTGGCCATGGTGGAGTTTGGAATCTGATTGATTGCTTGCTTCTGTGGACAGGTGTCTTTTATACAGGTAACAAGCTGAGATTAAGAGCCCTTCCTTTAAGAGAGTGCTCCTAATCTCAGCTCGTTACTTGTACAAAAGACACCTGGGAGCCAGAAATCTTGCTGATTGATAATACTTATTTCACTAATTAAAATGCAAATCAATTTATAACTTTTTTGAAACGCATTTTTCTGGATTTATTTGTTGTTATTCTGTCTCTCACTGTTAAAATAAACCTACCATTAAAATTATAGACTGATCATTTCTTTGTCAGTGGGCAAATGTACAAAATCAGCAGGGGATAAAATACTTTTCCCCCTCACTGTAGTTGATTTTCTGAACAGTAGAATGATTGATGACCAATTGTTTGCCAATCTTTTTAAACCCCTTTCCTTCTCAGAGAGCTCTTTTCGGTTTAGGCATGGTGATACCACACCCTTCAAAAATAAAGAGCATATCAAACTAAATGTTTTGAGGTTTCAATAGCAATAGCAGTTAGATTTATATACCGCTTCATAGAGCTTTACAGCACTCTCTAAGAAGTTTACAGGATCAGCATATTGCCCCCAATAATCTGGATCCTCATTTTATCAACCTCGGAACGATGGAAAGTTGTCAACATTGAACCCTGTCAGGATCGAACTCCTGGCTGTGGGCAGAATCAGCCTCCAATACTACATTCTAACCACTGCACCACCACGGCTCTTTAGCACTTGAAGGTTTGAATATGGATAACTTTATTGTATTTCTTAAGGGGGGAAATTCTAAATCTAAATAGGGGAGATCTATCAAATTGGTTTCTGTGAATCAAATAATTTCACTTATTTCACACAAAAAATCTTTACTCACTGAATAACTGAAATGTCATGCATTAGATTTCTACTCACAAAAAGTATTCTGTACTTTGCAATAAGGCAAAATAATTTCTGTCCCTCTAGGTTTCAGGATAATTACATGGATTTACAAGCAGTTTCCAACTCTATACATTCCACCATTCTCAAATTCCACAAAAAATCAGGGTTCTAGTAAAGAGATGCGTCCTTCAAATATACATGTGAAAATTGCAGAGTTGATTGGGTAAATGTATGCAATTTCCCTTATATGCCAGAAGTGTGTTTTATTTGTGTGGAACTCTTAAAATTATAAAATACTATCTCCTTTTCTCCAGTTGGTAAGAATTGTGGCAATGCAATAATCACCCCCACCACAGCCATTGGTTTCAGGTCAATATTCCACTGCTTGTCTGCAAACCGTACCTGGATTTTATTGCCTGCCCACAGTCCCCTCCAAGCTGGCAAGCACAAATCCTCATCACTGATGCTCCTGAAACATTAACCCAGTCACTGCCCCTACAGGCAGTGAGTTCATCAAGAGTTCATCAGTGCATTATTTTAAGGTGGTCACACAGCTATGCTCTCTTCCAACCCACATTCACTCCATGCGTGCTGGCAGTATTGGAGCTTTCACTTATTTATAGTCAAAGATCAAACACAGTCACAATCACATATAATAAGATCCCTATAATTAATAAAACAAATCAAGAAATATATTTGGACATCCCCAAAATTAACTGACAACCTTCTTATAATAATTACAATCCCATAAAATTTGGCAACTCTCCTAGATATTTGTGAATATAAATAGTAAGAATTTCACCAGCATTTTATTACTTCTAATCTATTGCTTAACAAGAGCATTATTAGTTCAACGAGCCTGAGGGCACCATAGCAATAGTACAATGCTGTCTCATTCATCCCAACTCAACAGAAACACGGGCAGTTTTGGGATGGAGTATGAACCCGATGGCAGAACATTAAGACTAGTTTTCAGTATGAGATGGAGTGGATGTTATTAAAATAGGGTGGTTATTTATTTGTATCCCATCTTTTATTATTTTTAAATAACTCAAGGCGGCAAACATATCCAAAACACCTTTCTCTTGCTCCTGCCTCCACAACTCCTCCTCTGTGAGGTGGATTGGGCTGAGAGTGTGTGATTGGCCCAAAATCACTCAGCTGGTTTTCATGGCTAAGAGTTCACTTAATCTAAAGGGTCAACTACAGATATTTAATTATCATGTGAGAAACTTTACTGTTATATTTCTATACATCAAAAACAAGGACTCACTGTTTAATTCTAAGGTAATGCTGTCAAATCTCATTAACATCAAATAGAGGAGTGAGAGCCCACAATAATTTAAATCTGAAACTCTGCTTTTCTACAAAAACAAAGCATCACCAGGGGCCAACTGAATTAAGCATTTTTCCAGAAGGATCAAAATAACCAAATCATTAGCATAGAGGTAGAATCTCTATGCTTCTATTAGATGTGGAAGGCAAAACCTGTTTTTAGAAATAATTTGAATGATGTCCTGCAGAAATTCCATTGTATTGACATATTTAAGAATGAGTGAATAATGATACATATTTTAATTCATTTTCTGAACCAGCTAAATAAAAGATGGCATCTTTGTTAAACCTATCCCATACGTCTGCCTTAATGATTCACAAAATTAACACACATTTTTCTGAATTAGATTTTTAATTAATGGATTAAAATGAAAATCCCAAACTGAAGTAATAGTTTATTCAATTTATTTTGTAAACTGAATCCAAGAACCTTCATTTATGATAATCTTACAAACATAATGCAAGATGTGCATTTTTTTACACATAACAGTAATTGATTCCTATTAATGAAAAAATATTAATCCGCTATTCATGAATCAAGTTTTTATGTCACTGAAAAACAGAAAATCAATTAAAGAAAAATCTGTACTGCTTTAAAAATGGTATATTCAATTCCAAGAAGGCGAGGAAAACTGATTACATTTGAACAAAACAAGCCTAAACCGATTAACTGAAGCTACACCAATCAATGGGTTAAAAGACATTAATAGATACTTTGTTTCCCTTTTGCTACACATTTAAAGCAACCAGTCCTGCAAAGTCCCAGCGATCAGCATTCTGTTCATATGATTTCACTTCACAATTGCTATGGAGAGGTATAACGAAGATAATTCTTGCCCGATGGAAGTTGCTTAGTGCAAATCCCTCCTGGAAAGAGCTTTTTGGCTTCTTCATCTGATAAGCTTGGAATAACCATGACCTGGTCTCCAGGCTCACAAGGAAAGAAAAAGAAAATTAGTAATAATTTTACTAATTATTCTTATCTGGACAGCCCAGAACCTTCAGTCAATGAATCAGACTGCATACATACACTATCATCTTCCTAGACATATATTGTTGAAGCTGGATTGTATACGTTATTGCATATATTCTACATTTCAAATTATGAGAAACATTTCTACAGTTGAAATATTTAATATGCTTCATGTAGTTGACAAAATAGTTATAATGCATAAATCTAAGACTAGGATTTTAATTTTGTACCTCTTTACATTACCTCAATCAAAAACAAGAGAAACACTTCGAGGATTTGGGTTTGGCTAGTCTAGAGAAAAAAAGGACATGATAGCAGTATTCCAGTATTTGAGGGGCTGCCACAAAGAAGAGGGGGTCAAACTATTCCCCAAAGCACCAGAGGGCAGGACAAGAAACAATGGTTGGAAACTGATCAAAGAGAGAAGCAACCTTGGAATTAAGGAGAAACTTCCTGACAGTGAGAATAATTAACCAGTGGAACAGCTTGCCTCTAGAAATCATGGGCGCTCCATCCCTGGAGGTTTTAAAGAAGGGACTTGGACAGTCACTTGTCTGAGATGGTATAGTTCTCCTGCTTGAGCAAGGGGCTGGACTAGGAGACCTCCAAGATAAAAAGTGCCTGCCAAAGAGCTCTTGCCACAAACTCCTACAAAAACAATCTGTAGCTAAGTAAAAGCTACTTAGTTTGTCTCATATTACACCTTAGGATATGTAAAATAATTTACAAACTCGGTGCTCTGTATATACGTAGAAACAGACAACATACAGAACATTTCACACACACACCCCAATAAAACATATCGCCCAATTGGAATATTCTTCCACAGATATTCAAAACACCTCTCATAGAATTTTCCAAACAGAAATAAAATTTACCAAAATTTCACAAGTATCATTTTTCTTCTCCCCCTGCTTTTTTTTAAAAAGGTATTTTCAGGTGATGACCTTATGGGCATTAAAGAACCTACATTAGGAAATCCATAGTTCAGCTTTTAAATAGGTTTGAAAAAAGTATCACTGTGGCAAATTCAGGTTACTCTAATAAATATATAAAACTATATCCAAACATTTTAATGTGCAAAAAAAATTAATGAAAATGCTGATAAAAAACAAAGTCTTAGGAGGGTAAACCAGAGTACACTTGTAAGAAACTGAAGACAGTTCATAAGAGATTACGGCTGGAGAGCTCACCCAATTGATTATAGGGCTGTCATAAATATATCTATGTTTTTTTAAAAAAAATATCATCAGGACCAGGAACCTTTCCACTTAGGACAATGGTAATTGTAATCTCACAACACTAACTTGTACTCTCAGGAGATATTTCTCTGATAACGTCATGGAGGTCATTATCCAATCTATTTCAATATTTTTGTATTTAGCAACTCCCACAATATATAGGAAAATCTGTTTCTTCAACAATTTTCACAGTATTTGAATAAAACTTTAGATTAAATGATTTATAAAAGTAAACAGCTACCTTCCAGTCAACAGGTGTAGCAACTTTCTTAGCAGCTGTTAATTTCAAGGAATCAACAACTCTTAGAATCTCATCAAAGTTTCTGCCAGTGGTTGCTGGGTAGAGGATAGAGAGTTTCAGCTTCTTATCCGGGCCAAAAACAAATACCTATAGAGCAAAGTTACCGAATTGTAAATAAAACAAATTATCACATATATATTGTTCTATAAATCATCCATTTCTTGCAAATCCTTTGGGGAATTATATAATTTTCCAACTATTTAGTGTTACATTTTTCCTAAGACAAATAGCAAATGCATTGGGGGGGGCAATGTATTTAATAAAATGTAATTCTTGGATAGGAATTTTCCCACATAGCATTTGAGGCTAAGTTCTTATCCAAAATCATTTATTCAGCATTTGTAATCCTAAATCTGGCACAATTGTGATATGATAGGTTTTCTTTATCATTAAAGTGAGAAATATTTATATAAGATTACAGCTGTTATGTACGAAAGAAATTTGAGAAATAGATGAGAACATTCCTGTGCAACCATTCTTTTGAAATGGTTGATGTGTAAACTTAGGTAACTCATTTATTTCATAGTGGCCTACTCAGGTTTTGAGTGCAGAACTTAAAATACAGGGCAATCTATCCCCTTCTAGTTTTAATTTTATATATATATAAACACGCGCGCACACACATGCATACATAATAAAAACAAAGCACAAAAGGGAAGATTAGTAAATCTCATAACTGAAAGATTAAAAGAGAATCCACCTGTCAACATATTTCATTTTGAGTTAGTCACAAATGGAGGTTGGTAACAATGACTTATTACTCTTCTCAGTTCCTGGAATCTATTTTATAGAACTGGGTTTCTAAATAATATTACAAGTTAGTCTAACTTTATTATTTAATAACCCATTCCATTCTCATTAGATATGTCAGCAATTTTATTTCTTGCAGATATACTTATTGGCTACATGGGGAGACCTGATGGACCACAGGTTCTCATCTGGTTAAATAATAACAGATTAAATAGAAATAAGGCAATAAATGGTACATAAGCAACTGAGAAAACTGCAGCCTGCAAAAAAGCAATGTTAAAGAGGCAATGGGTATTTACCACACGAGCAGTCAAAGGCATTCCATCTTTGTCTATCTCATCTGGATCCAGCATGCCAAGTTGGACTGAAAGTTCCCGTTTTGAATCAGCAATTATTGGAAAAGGGAGTTTGTCAATAGACTTGTCACTGTTGTAGGCACTGATGTCCTGCAAGAGGGAAAATTTAATATTTTATTACAAATTTGTTCAATTACAATTAGTGCAAAGTCAACTCTGTACAAAAACTTAGTGCTATTTCATTTAGTTATAAAAAACTTTGTTTTCAGAAGCCTTCCATTATGATTAATAAAAATGATCAAAACACTTAAAACTGTTTAAACCAGAGTAACCTAAATAAACAAAAAAATAGCTGCAAGGAGGTATTGCATTCTATTTATACAGATTTTGGTACTGATGGAAAAATGTAAAAACTCACTCAAAACAGGGAAACTAAGATTTGCATCTGTACATCCATTCCAGACTAGCAATTTCTTCTGTGAACTACTGGCTCTCTACAATAGTGACTTGCTGATATCAGACGCCAACCATTAGCTTCCATACTGAAATGGCATACCTACCGTGTTTCCCTGAAAATAAACCCCGGCCCCCAAAATTTGTGGGGGTGGGCCTAATATAAGCCCTACTCCAAAAATAAGCCCTAGTTAGGACACCGCCCATTTCTCCCACCTGGCTGCCGCAATGGGGCAGGCGGCCTCATGGCACATTGTGCCACTGCTGCCACAATGAGACGAGGCAGGTGGAGGGGGTGGAGCTGCCCCACGTGCCCCGCACCTGCTTCCTTCAGGCCTCCCCCAGCCAGGCCATTCCTTGCTCCCTTACACTCCCCTCCTGAGCTGGACTGCCATGCTATCGTATGGAGGATGGGCGGAGTTGACCAGGTCCCCCTCCGCCATTTCGGCGCCCGGGGGGAGTGACGGCAAAAGACTCTGCTGCTGCTGTGTGCCACTGGAGGGGCTTGCTTCACGCTCCGCCCCAAGATTATCTACCTGGCAGCAGCCACTGCCTCCTCCCCACAAATGGCCTGGCTGGGGAGGCCTGAAGGAAGCGGGTGCGGGGCACATGGGGCAGCTTCACCCCCTCCTCCACCTGGCTTGCCTCATGGCAGCAGTGGCACAATGTGCCGCACGGCCTCCTGCAGAAGTGGGCCAGCAGCCATGCAGGTTCCTGCTGGATGGGGCAGTTGGTCCCGCCGCTGCGAGGCGAAGCAGGTGTCACAGAAAATATAAGACACTGCCCGAAAGTAAGACCTAATGCCTCTTTTGGAGGCAAAAATAATATAAAACTGGGTCTTAACTTTCGGGGAAACACGGTAGTTCCTTGCACAAGATGTAAAGCAGATAAGTGGAAAATGTAAGGCCCTAGAGCCACAATTCCAGTTAGTCAACTAGGTAGTGGTGACATACTACCAGCAGAAGGAAGATTAAAAACCAGAGACAAAAGTTAGAGATATTTTCCATCAGTCTGGAGACAATGCTGGCATATTTTATAATTAATCTAGATATATTTTATGGTTAATACAGGTGGACAAGACTCTGTTGTCAGCAAAAAAATGTGAATGATTTTTGGTAAGTGAAATTTTGATCTATATATAGGTTATAGAGCACGTCCAACAGGTGGCCAAATTAAAAAATAAACAAATAAAAGACAATTGGAAAATCCCTGGACTAGACTGGGAAATAAAAAATACTTCCTGGAAGAAGGTAATGACAATTTCTGTACTATTATAAGTAGCCCTCAACTTACAATTTTAACAGAGTCTGCCCATTACAACCAGAAGTTGTAATGGCCATAAAGTGGGTCATCACCTGACCTAATTTTAGGACCATTTTTTGCAGTGGTCATTAAGCAAATCACAATGGTTAAGTGAATCTGCAGTCGCTAAGCATTTTTCAGTTTTAGCAAAAAGTTGTAGATTGTGGTCAGATGACTACAGGGTGCTAGAAATGGCCATGAATTTGGGCTGAATGCCAAGCGTCCAAAATGTGGTCATGTGATCATATGGGGAGGGGCTGGGCATCAGAACTGGATCGTAAGTATCTTTGAGGAGGTCCATTTAACTTTGAAAAGTGGCTAAGTGACTGGTTTCAAGGAATACCAGTACATGGGCTGCCTATAATCGGCAGGAACAAACTCAATCCAAGAAGTTACTTTGCATATGCTTCCATCAATGCTTCTCAAATGTCCCATTACCTACAGGACCAGTTTTATTCCAATGGCTGGCCACAATATGAAGAATCAGATGTTATTTTAATTGCCTTCTAAATGCAAGTGTACTAAGAAGATGTGTGCACAAAGTAATTCATATAAAAAAGGTAGAGTAGGCAGTAGCAGATATGACAATATAAGCATACTTTTATGTGCTTTTTGGAAGGGAAACAAGCAAAACCAGTTATTATGGATGATGCTACTGAACGTTTTTGCTTTTTCTCATTTAATAATTTGTCTGAACCTTATGTATAAATGTTAAGATAAAACCTTTCCTGGTTTCATTTTAATTAAATAACACCAGCTGTTTGAATACTGCTTTTTATGTGTAAGATTTTACCTGAAAGTTCAATTAATTTACATGTATAATTTATTGATCTGCAAGTACAGCTTTATAAACTCAAATTTTCATGCAAGCATTTTATGCATATGAAACAATGATTTCTTTATAAATTTTAGCATCTCTTTTAAAAAGCCTACATACAAATAATTAAGTTTCTCCAGCCAATGCAGGGAACATCTTGAAATTTCTTTGAAGAGTCAACCTACTCACCCACTATGTTTGTATTAAAAAAAGACAAGCATAATTTATTTTCTTTTTTTAGAAATCAGGGTTGACTTTTTATTTTAGTAGGTTTCAAGCAGTGCATAGGCCCATGGTGGCGAACCTATGGCACGCGTGCCACAGGTGGCACGCAGAGCCTTCTCTGTGGGCACATGCACCGTCACCCCAGTCCTAGGCTTTCAGCTGGGTTTTATAAAAACTTTTCGCTTTAGGCCTCTGCTGCCGTGTGCAAAAAAAAAAAAAAAAGGTTCAATCAATTTCAACTTCTCGTGGGGAAAAAAAAGATCTCGCAAAGTTGGAATTGATTGAACTTTTTAGTCCCACCCAGTCTGCCGTTACCACTGCAGCCACGCCCACCCAATGGGCCGCGCCCACCCGGCACCTGATGATACATAAGTGGTTTGGGGTTGCAGTTTGGGCACTCAGTCTCTAAAGGGTTTGCCATCACTGGCATAGGCAATGTTTGCTAGTGCTCTCTAGAAAAGGAATTGTTTTTCAACTATCTGGAAAAGCAGCTGAATAATAATTTTTAAAAAATCGTAAACAGTAGCAGCATAATAGTAGCATCATCTAATGTTACTAAATAATACTTTCAAAAGATCTAACAAACGTTTTACACTGCTGCTCTTTGGGTATTTGTTATTATGTTGTATATATGAAATTAGTTATTTCTGTAGAAGCACTTATTTCCATTTTTAAAGATATATTAAGTACATGATTATATAACTTATGTTATAAATAACCAGGGAATAATGGAGTAATTAAATATGCATAATGAAACACATTCTTAGGTTGAATTTGGTCTATGTGCACTTCAATCTTAGAGTTCAGAAAGTATTAAAAAATGAACCTCTGCATGAAATGTTTAGCAGATACTAGCACTGGCAAAAATACAACTTCATGACAAGTAAGCTATGTGTTTACATTCTAAAGACACTGTCCTTTGTATATGTTTTCAACACAAGCTATTCCGTCATGGTGATACTACAAATGATTTAGCACCATGTTTAAATAGCATATGTGATACTTTTGCTATGCATTTTTTTTCATTTGCTGGTATATATAAAAACTAACTTTTTTTATCTGTCATGTATTAGAGCACCAGAAAGGGTAATTATAAATTCCTCATAAAGTTCATTAATTTTGTCACTTTTCTTATAATAAGGCTACATTACCGCCTGCAAAATATAAGTCAATATGACTGAGTGCTGCAAATGGTAAGGCAAGAACCAGCATCTTCAGGTTGGACACAACCCTTTTATATATAAATACTAGCTACCGGTAGGTGTCTCCCAATCTTTGAGGTGAGAAAACCCTGGTATTTAAATCCTAATATAAATTTTTCTGTGGTGCTCAATGTTTTTATATTCTGCAATAGGCAATTTTTTTTAATGACTTGTATCTTGTCTGTAGGAAATCAACTCATCAAGCATATGTGCCTGCAAACTCCTCCTGTAATCTAGTTCCTGAACACTGGCTTCAAAGCCAGGATAACGGAGATGTATTGTTGTGCCTGTTGTGAAAATTGACATGTTAGATGTGAATATATCAGCATGAAATTAAACCCATTATTCTGTAAAAAAAAAAACCCTACCAAAACAGTCTTAATGCTTTTATTAAAAAATCAAAATATTTATTGATATCCACAAATTACTGTCTTACTGTTTTGTTTTGTTTTTGTCTTTCTCTTACAATTGATAAGTATGCTTAAACCTGTGAAGCCAGCCATAATGTGTTCACATCTGAACTGCGATACAATTATAAGGATGATAGGAATTGTAGAACATTATATTTAAAGGAAATATAATCCTGAATTTTGGAGCCTGCAACCTCAGCAACAGTTCTATTCTTTTATTTTTTTTTCACATTTGTACATGGGACAGAACAGTGAAATAATTCTATAGGAATGCCTATGAATATTGGTTTGTCTACAGATAATTCTCTAGCATTGCAGTATATATATTAAATAATAATCTTGAAACCATGGTTTCTGAAATTACTTGCTTCAATTATCCACAATTTAACCACAGTTAAAATTGTATTTGTAAAGATTATGATGAATGTAAAATTAATGTTGAAGTTTTCAATCTCTTCATAATAGAACTACAGAAGAGCATCAGGATGGAGTCTCAAGACCAAATGTTAAGGATTATCAATCTGTGGTCCTCAACCTCTTTTTCTGTACATTTAAAAGCCTTCTCTAAATGCACTGTCACAACTTGGCATGAGGTTGTCAAATTTACTAGTGTATATTCTTACCACATTGAGACAGGAAACAATATTCTAAAATAGTCTTACCTTTTCTTTTAAAAAGAAAATCTGAATATCACTGCCCAACCTACATACATGATTAATCCTGTCCATTTCAGCAATCCCTCAAAACATTAAATGCAGACTATCAAAATGTTTTCCAGTTCTTATCCCATCTTTCTTATCATTGTTTTTTTCCCCACAATACCTTGCACCAAGCGAGATGGTCACTGACATCATCAATAGAGAGGGCTATTAACTTAACATTGCGCTTGGCAAATTCTGGTGCTAGTTTTGCTGCTCGACCAAGTTCTGTGGTACACACTGGAGTAAAGTCCCTTGGATGAGAGAAGAGGATGCCCCATCTGAAAGAAAAAGAATCACATGGCTGATAGCATTGAAGCCTAGTAAGTCAGAGCAGATTTAAAATATTATTTCAAAGTTTGTTTTCAACTGTGATCTGGCTAGCTGAGAGGACTTGACACTAAATAGCATCTAGAAAGTTTATAGCTTGGAATATTTAAATCAGGGGTCAAATCTGGCCCTTTTATGACTTGTGGACTACAACTCCCAGAATTCTTCAGTCAGTGTGCCTGACTGAGGAATTCTGGGAGTTGAAGTCCACAAGTCATAAAAGGGCCAAGTTTGAAGACCCATGATTTAAATGATTCTCCTTAATTTTACTCCTTCCCCCCCCTTTTTTTCAGCTCTACACTCAGCCTTTTCCAATACAATTCACCAGATAAGATGGTATTTAAATCCCATATCTTGAACAAAGCCCCAATCCTTTGTTTGCTAGGGATTATGGAATCTAAAATCAAATTTATCTAGAGGACACTTGGTTGGAAGAGGCTAGGCCAGCCCACAGCAGAATTCTGGAGAGCTAGAAAGCTTGTTATGTTATTTTAATAACTTTAGCATATCTTTTTTCCTCATGTACCAGCAGAATTATCTTTGTTCTTTCCACTTACATTGTACTGGCCCCATTATTCAACACCCAGAAGTTGATTTAGTTTTCAGTCCTCAGTCATGAATACCTTCTCAACTGGAGCACTGCCAAAGAGATTTTTACCTTGACAAGCCTTCATACTGTTGCTCCATTAAAAGGTAATGCTGCCTCCCACCTCTCCAAACTGGTCTGCCTGCATTTCAAGATCTTTTGGTGGAAACACACCTGTACAACATACCCAGACATTTTTCACAATAGTACAATATTCCCAAAATCCTTTGTGCAAGATCCAGTTTTTGTTTGGCAATGCATGAACAATGGTTAAGTGCAGCCAGTTTCAATAAAAGTGGAGATTTGCAGAATTACATATATGCAACAGCTACAAACTAACTGTTCCCTTTTTGTTACTTTTTAGAAATTAAGCATAATGGAATCAGAGATGTTCATGAAATAATCTTTTCTTCTAGGAGCTATGGGGTTATTTGAAACAAAATGTTGAAAATTCTACACATTGTTATATAATCCAAATTAAAAAAATATATTTCAAGTTTAAGAAGTCTTAATGCTTAATTTATGTCTACAATTTTTGTCTTGGTAATTTTGGGCCTATTCTGATGTGTGAAGAGAAAAATAGATTTATAAAAATAGATTTTTATTAAATATTAATAAATAGATTTATTAAAAATAGATTTTCAAGAGAAAAATAGATTTATAAAATTATATGGGTTAGTAAATGGTTTAGCAAATAGTAGTCCAAATGAAGAACACCTGATTATGGCTTATTCAGATGCATGAACTCACTTTAAAGTTACACAAAAGTCACTCATATTATCAAGGATTTGTTAAACTAAGGAGTCACTGTTAAAAAGGCAATGGTAATATTTCCATTCTGTAAATTTGTCATCATTTTGAGATTACTTTGGCTTGTTACAAATATTTATGGCTGTGTGGGCGACAAAAGCTGCTGTAATACTATAAATGTTGCAGATAGTACTACCGTAATTTGGAGGCTCAAGCAGAAAAGTACATAGCAAAGTTAGGACAAATTTGGAAACCCTTAATAGATCACTGTTGATTTCTGCATGCATATTACAACACTGTAAGACAACTGCTGACACACTTGTTTTAATACTATCGTCAAACGTATGATAATCAGATGAAGATGTAAATTACATTCACATACAGAATTTATGTCAGCCAATATAGGAAGCCTTTTATTTCTCTTGCAATCATATAATGTTCTATCCTGTACTCTTGGCCTATTGCAAAGATTCATTTTGTATTCTAGTTTTTTTCCAATTTGACATCTTCCATATATATCAAACTTCAACTTCTGAAACACTCATCCACCATATCCTTATGTTGGCTAAGAACTATGGGTGCTGAATGCCTAGTACTCAGGAAGTTGCCAAATTGGACTCTAGTCAAGCAGCTGCTACAGGGGAACAAAAAACTTATTGAGCAACAGGAATCTACCCTTTGCTCTTTTGTCTGTATCTCTGAGAATGAAATTACTTGTCTCAGAGTACCAATTTAATAGTTAACCCAAGGGATTATATTACTGATTTAAAGAAAACAGTTTTTCATTCTAACTATGATGAACAAATGTTTGTATTTTATGTATTTCCAGAGTAATCACATTATATTAGAGAAGCACATAGTTTTTTTAAAAATAAATCTAGTTATAAAACTATTCCAAAATCTATCTTTATATATTTATTAGCCTAATGATTAATATAATCTTAAGAAAGACTTCAAGTTTTCAATAATCAAAAGAATATACCCATACGAATGTATGGATCTAAGTTAGAATGTTCTAACACTATTGTAACACTACTGCACAAATGAAAGAGACAATTCCAGTCCCTTATCCTTACAGGCTTGTTATTGGCCCAAATAGAATCATTTCAACAAATTCATTGTGGTATGCCTTTAATATAGGGAAACTGATCAATTTGAATTTTGCTTATTACCAGACATATGTATCAGCATTTCTTTTAAACCTTTATCCTCTAAGCCAGGGCTTTTCAACCTTTTCACCGACTGTACCACTTTTAGGATATGGCAATATTCGAGTACCACCTAGCAAGGTGTCAAAAACTTGATGACCAAAAAAACCCAGCCCTGCTCAAAGTTGCAATTGCACTGAAATGACTTATGACCATTTTTCACACTTATGACCATTGCAGCATGCCCAGGATCATGTGATTTATATTTGGATGCTTGGCAACTGATTCATATTTATGATGGTCACAGTGTCTCAGGATCATGTGATCCCTTTTGCAACCTTTTGACAAGCAAAGTCAATGGCAGGGCTGCTGGTGGCCAAGTGCTAAGGCAGGACTTCCTTCCCTCCCTCCCTTCTCATTCCCATCTCCTTCTGAAGGAAGAATTTGAAACAACCCCCCGCCCCATATTTTCTCTCTTCCATATATTCAAACAAGGAAAAGCCTCAAGAGACAGAAAAGAGAAACCATTGAGGGAACTAGTTTAAAAAGGCGCATTCCCCTTTAAGAATTAGCTACTGGCTAGAAAGGAAAGTTAAGGAAGAAAAAAAATGTAAATAAGTACTGGCTAAGGCAGCCTCCCCAAATGGCTCCATTCATAAGTAAAGGAATGCTACAGGCAAAATCCATTCAGGAGAAAAATACTTCAAAATCCCTTGCAGCAAAACTTACAGCTAACAATAGCAGAGCAATAGAAGCTAATATGAGACATCAGCCATCAGCCAAATAGAAATTGCCAAACACTCCTTTAGAACACAAAGCTCACATTGCACAAATCCCAGAACTTCAAAGTCACAAAAGCACATAAGAATTCTTCCACTCTCCATCTCCCTCCCTGCCTCACCTCCAGCTGATGCTGCCTTTCTTGATTGCTGCCTTTTTTTATTCCTCATGGAGGGCGACCCCTCCCCCGCTGCATTTCTTGCCTGTTTGCTGCTGCCAGCACAGATGGCTGCTACAGCAGTTGTAGATGGCCTGCTTGCTTGGTTTCCTCTGCTCTCCCCCCACCCTCCTCCTCCTCCTTTCCCTTGGTGCAGCTAGAGCTGACTCCGCCTCCTCCCAAGGCTGCTGCTTTTTCTCTCTCTCCTGCCCAAACTGCTTCCTTTTATAGCCTCTCCTGTCTCCGCCCTCCTCCTCCTCCTCCTTTCTCTTCCAGGTGAGCTGGAAGTGAGCCTGGGCTCTTTGCCTTGCCCCAGCCACTCTGCAGCTCCAGAGGACTCTCTCACAGTAAGTCCTTGCCTGTGCTGGCTCCCCCACTACACTTGGCTGGGCAGGGCTGCGTACCACCTGCCACATGCTAATGTACCACAGGTGGTACACTTACCACGGTTGAAAAGACTTGCTCTAAACAATCAAATTAGAAGTCATCAACTGCTGTTTCCTGTTTTTCTCAAACCATGTTTAGCAGCTTTGAAAAAGTCCATACATCAAAATTATAACCAGTTTTCCGGGCCAGGCAAAACAAGAAATGGTGATTACAATGTTTATTTGATAGGACTGTGTGTCCTATAACCAAAGTTATAACCAAATCCCAAATGGTCATCAGATTACATAGTAAACTTAAAACGTTCAGTACCTCAATTAGGAAGTGAGAAGCAAAATTAACCTTTTGGGTTAATCTGAAGGACAACAGCACAGTTTGGGCATGAAACTAAAGGGCCTTCATTTTCTTTAAAGCATCTACATCTTTTCCTGGGATGCATGGATAAATCCAAAGAAAATATAGTCTACTTTAAAATTGTTATAGTAATTATGTTGCCCCCCCTTTTTGAAATTGAATCTGAAGGACTGCACCAAGCCTAATGTATATGTAACACTATTCTCAAGTGGATAATATAAGCATCTAATGAACTAGATTGCAATCAATTAAAACATTCATTAAGCTCATACAGTAAAAGAAACTGTAATTTAGACCTAATTGGGACCTACAAAATCAACATGCTTAGTAATGATTCCCCAATGTAATTAAAGTATTCTTAGTTTTCTACCCAGATTCCAAAGAAAAACTGCTTGTCTCTAACCACAACAGGAATAGAGAATACCACAATCCTTCCCGGTCCCATCGGATTTTTTAAAAATCTCCTTTAGTTAAAAAGAGGGAAGCTGACAAAACCTCTCCTTCTAACATCATCTTTATTTACAAAAATAGGGCTCAGAGAGTTTTTTTAGAAAATAAAAATAAGACAGGTGTTTGCTCAGTACTTTCCTGAAAATCTGTCAATTCACTCAAGAAAAAAGAAAAAAATTAAGATAGGGCAGTAGACAACACTTAGTAGACCAGGAAGTGGCTCCGAATAATCTTACTAGTTTGCCTTCTAATAAAGGGGTGTTCTGCCATTGGCCACATTTACCATGGTAACTACCAAATGAAGAGGCGTTCCCTCCCTACAGCAACCTTTACTAAGAGGAACTTCAACTTTCTCAAAATTCCAAATATGTCTCCAATAATTCAAAGAGATTGACTACTTTGGATCAACAGTTATTGTGATATTATACAGTACATCCTAAATGTGAATAGCACATACCATGTACAGTAGCGGCACTTCATGCTACAGAATACATTTAATTAGAAGGATAGAAGAATAAAGGTTAAATTAAGAAACTCTGAAGATCTCCAAGCTAAGCACAATGTACCCGCTTACCAAAAGCGCAGCATAGGAAAACTTTGCCAAGGATTATCTAATCCACCATTCAGTTCATTTTTGTGGACAAAGCCGTTTAGAAAATTCAAAAGGATGTGAACAATATCATTTCTCAGCATATATTCTCAGTAACTTGCTCAAAGGTTTCTGAGAATTTAGAGCTAGTTGATATATTAACTCTGTTGAAAGCCACATTTTGTGACAATAAATACAACCTATGCAATGCATGAATGATTTTCTTTTCTCTTCTTCCCACCAATTTAAATGGGACTCTGTATTCCAGCATTAGGAAGTAAGAATTAAATAATGTCCACTTCTTTCATATTGTAGATATTTCAACAATCAATTTATTCCTTCATTGTTAGAATTTACATTCCACCTTTCATGGTAGGTTATAAGCTAAGTTCAAAGAAGACAGATCATTAAAGGCACAATAATGCATTATGTGTAAAACATTTTTTTCCCTGCAGGACATCTTGCAACTATTAAGGATGGGATGAAAGATAAGTAACCGGCAGGCTCCACCGTTATTGGCTGTTACCCTCTCTTGTTCCTTCCCAGGCAGAATTGGGCAACTTTGGGCGCTACAGACCCTCAAGTAACACTCCCAAGTATAGCCGAACTTCCCGGGCCGTAGTTTGGCAACTACTGGAGAGTCCAGATTGCTTATTTTTAAAGCAAGTGTTTGGCAGAAGGGAGAGGGATCAGAGTCAAAGTTTTACTTTGCCTTTTTCAGTCGTTGGAGGTAATTAGCTAAGGATAGATATCCCCGCCCTCCACCCAAGACAATTATCCACGGTTTGCACGAAGATGCCGCAGCCCTTTTAATTGCTCTAGCGCCGTTTTTCCGCCTGCGGTTGCGGCTCTACGCCAACTCTCCCACCAAGGAAAGGAGCAAAAGCTCTATGGCAAAGCGGTCCTATCAAGCGAGGACCACCGAATAGAGTAGGAGTTCCCAACCGGGGCTGCGAAAACGTGGGTTTTCAAAATTATAGTGTATATGCATAATTCATTGCCGTTATTTCGAACTTTTGTAAGGGGTGCGAGAATATATCAGAAGCGTTCTAGGGGTGCGGGGTATAGAAAAGGTTGGGAGCCTCTGGAATAGAGTAACCCTACTAAGTGTGCAGCCTTCACCCAGCGACCACGGTCGCCTCTCATACTCACGAGTCTCCCAGAAATTCGTGGAAGCGGATGGGACCGTGCGTAGTATCAGCCTGGAAATTAGGCGCCTCATCTCCTAGCAGCAGGCCCGGCATGGTCCTAGACCTAGACTGTTTCTGCAACAGCGGGAAAGCTGCTCAGTGGCGTCCGAACACCCGAAAGGCAGGGTGGAAGGAGTGAAGTAATAGCAGGACGCACAGAGCCTACCGGGGGGGGCGGGGCTTAAGGGGCGGAGCTGCTGGAATCTTCCGCTGTTAGGGTTACTTACTCTAGCAGAACGTCGCTTTTATAGTAGGTGCGGAGGAAGGGAAGTTTACGGCTAGGGTTGGATATGTTTTCCGATTCTGAAGCAAAGTCATCTTATGTTGCACGACGATGCTTCTTGGCAATATTCATATAATTGCAAGCATAATTGGGGAGAAAGGCTAAAACGTCAGGCAATCGGAGGAGCAAGTAATGGGGAGGGGGAGGGGTGTTTGCAGAAACAATCGACGCCGCCTCAACCCCAGGAAAAATCTCCAATTGGAGGCAGCCTGGGAAATGTTAAAAGACTGGCGAGAGCGCAGAGCGTACAAGTAAAAATGGAGTTTATAAAACAGCCTAATGGATTACATGTTCAGTTCAAGGTCTGAATCAAATATTTAGGATTGCAATTAAAATTGCTATTAATTTAAATTGTTTTGAACTAAACAACTTCCTTTCGGCCCACAAATAAATGAAACATGAAAGCGACTAGCGCCATCGCGTCACACTAGAGAAGGGGGAGATGGCATGGCTTCCCCCTTAAAGGAAATCTTGAATGAATTGCAAGCGTTGAGATCACGATGGACGAAGCAATGCGAAGCCACTTATTAGAAAGTCTCATTCGCGAACACCGTCCCTGGATTTAGTCCTACTGGCCTGCGCTATTCTCTGCTCTTTAAAAAAAATCGCGTGAGCAAAGTTTATGGCTGCAATCCGATTGGTAAAGATACCGAATGGCTTCCAGAATGAAGTGTTTTTTTCAAGTTAGCAGCTAATAGGATCTGGTGATCACAGTTATTCACGTGATCTAATTTTAACTCGGTTTAGAGTCTTTTTGGAATCGGAGAGACTCTTTCCAGTTACGTTGCCGTACGGCCAGGAGTTGCGAAACAAAGAATCAAATTAAGCGGTGACAATTGCTACTGAGGTTGACGTGGCCTCGCGGGCAGTAAAATGAGAGCGGGCGGGTGCATGCTGCCGAGAGCCTGTCATGGCGACTTACGTGAGTGAGCTGGAGGTGGCTAAGAAAAACCTGAGCGAAGCTTTGGGCGAAAATGTAAAGCAGTAAGTGAACATCAGGCGCCTTTCTTTTTCCCCCGCGTCGTTTCTTCGTTAAGCCGTATTTTTGCAGTTGAGGCCTAGTTGGCCCGAGAAGCATCGATCTCGATTTTCTCTGCACCGGGTGTTTTTTAAGCTCGAGCATAAGTGGATGCCCAATCAGCCCTCTACTCTCCGTGTATAAACCCATTGCCCTTTTCGAACAATATTTTTCTACTTTTCATTTTATTTTTCTTCAGAACCGAATAGGCAGGCCTTATTTCAACCTGCTCGGCAATACAAATATTCCTTCCGCCCCCCCACGAAATGTTGATTAGGAAGGATGAAAGATCTGCTGCTCATAGGTGGTAGAAACTAATCATTAAGGTACAGCATCCGACTCTTTAGGCTTTAAGTTATTCAAGACATCACAATCATAATTTTAACTAGGACTTATGTAGCCACTCTCAAGTGCTTCACAAATTCTCAAAGGTGGTTTTGTGCACCTTGGAGACTGATACAGAGTCATGTGCACATTAATTTAAAGTTTTTAAATCAAATATATGTAGAATCACTGCCTAAAAATTACTGCACCCACATTTACAGAAATATCTATCTAATTACTGCACCCACATTTACAGAAATATCTTACCTAATTCTGTAAAGCAGCAATACTATATACCCTGGAAGTAATTCAGCAGCTTATTTCTGAGTAGACATATGAAGGTCTGTCTCTAAAATATCACAAGTTTCTAGTTTCCTGCAATAAATTAATGTAACTTGATTTTTAGAGGTCAGGCCCAAATAAGCCACTAAGGTTTAATGCATATACAAAAATAAACAAGCCAGCTATCCTATGTAGTATAGAATGTACAATCCCTGTCTTAATAATACTTTTGAAAAAATTGCAATAGAATTTGATTGAAAACATTAAAATTGTAATATAGCTGCAAAAAAGTAAATTGAATTTTAGACTGCATCATAGAAATATAATTACCAAATTATAGTTCTACTTATGTTATAATCATTTGCCCAGAGACACTGAAATTTTTCTTTTTGGGATCCTAATTTGTCATTTTCAATCTTTGCTTTGTAGAGAGTATTTTGTCTTGGTAACTTAATTGCCAGTTTCACTGTATTATTTTGCTGTTTTCATGCCTATTCAGTATTTCAGTGATATATCATGATACAATTAACTATTATTTTAAATACATTATTTTTAAATTTTATAAGAGTAAAGCTGTGTTAGTCTACTCTATGGTGATTAAAAAAAAGAGTTGGAAAAATTGCTATCTGATTCCTGATCATTCCCTATCTTATAAATAAAGGGAGTGAAGAAAACTATGTAGGAGGAGGAGAAAACAGTATTAGATAGTTATTGCCAGCAGGCATGGAAATATTTGCTGGGCAACTAGGTAGTCTTTTAACAATTTTTTGAAAGGCTGGTCTGCATTACAAACCTTAACTGGCTTAATTATCATAACCACTACCCTCTTCCATGCCCTCTTTATGAGGGGCTTTGTGTATCCCAACAGAGAATCTTGGTCAATCCTAGGGTTCCAATGAAAAATCTATCATTTTTTTTATTAATAGATAGGCTCATCTGAATTGATATTTTTGCAATCAAGGACACATTTATTTTTAAATTGGCACTGCAACTGATTTCCAAAAAAGTATCTTTTCAGCAAACAACAGGCATTATGATTAACCAGATGCAATTCAAAATTCACAGAACTTGAACATTTTCACTGATGTGAACATAAGTTGATGAAATGACATGCTTCATTTTAGGGGGATCTGGGCATTCAAGATCTTTGAATAAAACATTTTATCAATATTGCTATTCAGTTGTTTGTACATGAAATACAAATGTAGATTAATAATAAATGTTCTGCTGCAAATTCTTTTGTCATATATGTAATTTCTTTTGCAGCAGAGTTCTCAAACTTCTTTCTTAAATTTTTTTGTCAAGATATAGGACATTTTTAAAGGCAGAATTTGAGCTCCCCCTGTTGATTATTTAGCTGTACAGTACTTTTATACCGGTAGTCACCTAAGATTTTTACCCAAATGTCCAGATTCCAAATAGCAAAACAGTATATTTTTTACTTAAAAAATCAGTGAAAACGTAGACTGTCAGTGGAGGACAGTTTCATTTTGGAACATACTTTTAAAGTGTTTTCAAATATTTGGAGCAAAAATTAAGATAGAGGCAAAAGAAGTTCCCTAATACAGAATAAGGACTTCTGATCCTCAAAACTTCCATCTCATGAATGTCTTCACATTGGATGGTCTCCCTTTTAACTTTCCCTTTCATCTCTGCTTTTTAAATCCTCCTTGACAGAGTGCAGAGGGTTTATAATCATAAAACATCATATCTTCTTCCTATTTTTTCTTACCAGTTCTACTGTCCTTTATGATTTCTCTCATCTGTTAGTATTGTCCAATAAACTCATTCTTATCCTCAACTAATGTTCAGTTACAGTTAAAAGCAGTCTGTTGTTTTTAGGGCCAATGACAGGAAAACATAACAAATATGATCCTCCACATTCTGAATATTATTCATTTTACAATAAATATGCACATAATATATTTCTCTACAAAATCTAGAAATATATAGCTAAGATTCTGAAAAATTCCAAGTTGTGCATGCTCATTTAATAAATACCTGACCTTTTCCCATGTTTGAAATAGGCAACAAGAGATTTACTGCCAAGGGTAAAAGTAGAAAGAACATAATCCGCATTTTCCTTTTTGTGAAATAAGCTCCAATAATTTTTTAAGGTACTGTAACTGGAATATGTTGGGTGATAGTACATTGTTTCCTTAAGATAGGTGGGGCAAACTGCACTCTTCAAAACACCTTTATACTGTCTTTTTTTGCTAAGATTTTATAGTCCTCTCTGGCTAACTGAAGGTGGAAAACATAAAAAGTATAGTGTGGGCCCTAACATAGATGTATCACTATAAAAAAAATCCCAATATCTCTAAACCCAACTTTACAATATTTAATGTGGCCCCACTCATATTTTGGTTCTTAGTCCTCCCTACACTCTTGGCCATCAAAAGATTACCCTTCCCTGTCTTAGGACAAGATGAACTATAACCTCAAATCTATTGGTTGCAATTGAGATTCTTCTGCTGATTAAATATTTTCTTGCAATTATAAGAATTCTGTGAAACTATGATACTCTCTCATAAAGCAACTAGAGAGGAAAAAGGTAACTTTTAAAAGGATAAATACATTATTGATAATTCATTATTGATATCTTGCACAGGTACTGGGCTAATTTGAAACTATGGTTTAAACAAAAAATCAGCAAAGAAGAATTTGATTTGGAAGCTCGGAGACTTCTCACTCAAGACAGTGGTATGAAAATAAATTCTGAATTGCTCACCTAGTTTTCTGAATTCTTCAGTTTCAAATGTCTAGGGATTAATTATAATGCTTTGAAATATACAGTATCTCAATTATATTTAGTTACTAAAAAGTGGACTGTGGGAACTATGAGACCATTTTTTTTAGCCTTGAAATGTTTATCATGCCTCATAATTCTTAATACTTTACAAGAATTTACCATAGTAAAAGTTACCCTTGAAGAATTTTTAGAAGATAAAAGCTGAAAATCTTAAGTTGCTAAATTAGGAGCCTGGTATTGGACTTGGAAAATGCTATTATATCTTCTGTGCAAATTTATGAAGTTAATGCAAATTTATGTTTCCTAATAAAAATTATTGTCATAATTGTAATGCAGATCATGTCTTTTATTTTGGCAGTCCATTTTCACAATGACTTCTTGCTAGCTATTCTTACACGATGTCAGATCTTGGTTTCTGCACCAGGTAAGCCACTAATTATTTTGCATCTGGATTGAGAGACCTGTAGTGTGTTTCACTTATGGTAATTCTAATGTTC